TTTTTTTTTTTTTTTTTGGGCACGCTGTCGTTTGTATTCGATTTAAATATAAAAATAAATTTTTGTTTTAATCGTGTTAGGAATTTGTATTTTTTTTTTTGGCTTTTAATATTTGGCTCAATTGTTAAGGCACACATGAGAAAATTGGAAAATTTTTTTGCGTCGAGTTGATGACGTGGAAATTTTTTTTATTAACAATAAATAATTATTGTTTAACGCAATAACAGTAACGTTTGAGAGAAGCTGAATTAACGCATTTGGAAGTTTTGTAAATGCTGTCCAACCTTTTGGGAGATTCTAAAAATTCGTAATGTGATTTTTCCCCATTTAAATTAAAAAACATTTTAACGGTGGATTCGAATTTCGTTCGTCCGGGATTCAATTCGACGATAATAACGAATATTCTCGAAACGAAATCAATTTTCAAACGGTTAATATTATCGTTTTCATCGTCGTCGTTATCATTCAAATCGATGACTTCTTGCGCTCTGTAAATTTTTAAAAAGGTCCAACGGGAACACAAACCCTTTTTAACTTTTTCCATTTTAATTAATTCATTCGTTTTGTTAACAACGAAATTGTACATGATATCGCTTGCATCGATCACTGCTTTTTCCCTAACCGGTAAATTTCGAAATTCCGAACACATACACCAATTTTCATCTATGCATGCATCTTTGCAAGTTCTTTCCAAAGGTTGTACTTCTAGCAAACCGGTTGATTTCGGACAGGACAACGATTTGGGTTTTTCAGCAGTTGTTTCATTATTCGACGAATAATAATACGTTTCGTTACGATTTTCGTTTTGCGTGACGAAATTTAAAAGATTTTTAATGGTGACGTAAACGTCGTAGGGAGATGTCAACCTGTTTTGATTTACTTGTAAATTATTATATTTTTCCGGATATTTATCTTGAAACCATTTCGGAAGCCATATAAACATGAAAGGTAATCTTTCTTCCATGTAACCGATAAACGTTTCTCTTATATTTCCAAATCTTATTCCGTGATCGCTTAAAATTAATATTAGCGAATTCTCATAGACGCCGAGTTGTGAAATATCACTTAAAAATTTATAAACGCTGTTGTCCAAAGCTTTCGGTGCATTCAAATCATTGTGTCCTAAACTGTTCGTCCATAGTAAACTAAAATGATTGTGATTATTGAAAACTTTAAAAAAATTTTTAGCGTAGTCTAATATGTGATCTATGACGAGTATGGGTCCCGTGCATACCGGAAGTCCATTTAATACTTTTAAAGGTAACAAATGATGAGCTGCTAACATAAAAGGTCTCATGTAATAATCCGTTGGTTTTTCAACGAAACCCGTTCTCATGAAATTAAACGTTGATATTGTTGGAGTATCTTCTGCGTAAAGAGTCACGTATCCGCTTCGTTAAATCTTTCCATATATTGGACATCGTCATTTTTTCGTGCTGTTTCTCACACGATTTAAATTTTTCATCGATTCTCGGCTGAGAATAGCCATTAAATTTGGAAATGTATTTTCCCCTATTTTATTGTAGCCATTCAATTGTATCCAATTTTTATCCCGGAGATATTTTAACGTTTTCGGCATTATCCTTTTCAAATTAATTCTCGATACGGAATCGATTCCTAAAATAATTACGTTGAGTCTGTCGTCATCATCATTATCGGTAGAATCGAAATTTTCCGAACGTGATTTTTTATTTTTAATTTTTTCGTCAGCCGATGGTAACATGGGTACTACCGAATGCACATTTTTATAAAATTCTTTCCCCGTTTTTTTTCCTTTTTGGTAACTTAAACATTTAACAAAAATAAATTCTGCATCGTTTGGTAAGATGATTTCATTTGTAAAATTTTCACATTTCGATGCGCTAAAAACAAACAAACAAACGCACGTTAAAAAATTTTATTTATCTTTAGGAAAAATAATTATAATTATCAAATCTTAGAAAAAAAAAAAAATTTTAACGGTTTTTACATGCGAGGAAAATCGTAGTTCGTTTTTAAATAAAAAAAATACTTACTGATATACATTATCAGCGCTTATATTATATTTGTTAGGATTTTGTTCTGTTCTTGTTATCAAACTATAACAACATTGTATAAAATTATTTATTAAATTTATTTTATATTTTTTTAAATATTTCTGGAAAAAAAAAAAAAGCAAAAATTAGAAATTAGAATTTTTTATTTTGTATGCGTATACAAACAATATTTGCGTTTTTTTTTTTTTTTAAATTATTAATGATATAACCTTATGAATTTTTAAGACGTTTGTCGTATTTTCCAATTGATCGATATAAGTTAATGGTGGAAGGTGTGAGCAAACAAGATTTTGAGGTTTTGTTATATATTTTAAAACGGATGGATCCCACGGATCGGGATCTAACATTTTACATTTAGAATTTTTCATTGCATATTTTGTTTTAATTAAATTTGACGACATTTCTAAAAAATTATACATAAAAAAATTTAAATTCTATTTAAATTAATAATTTAAAATCTCGAGAAATGTTTTTAAATTTAAATTTTAATACCTTCATCGATTTCATGTTGTACATCATCATTTGTCAAAACAAATAATTTTCCTAATTTTATTTCGTTTGTTTCATTATTATTATTATTATTATAATGGGAATAGTAAAAAGTTAATAATCCGGCAAAACAAACGATAAAAATAAGTAATCGAAGATTACCTTTCAGGTTCATTGCGATAAAACAACATTTCCCTTTTTTTTTTTTTTAATAATATTTCTTTGGTCGCGTTTTGAACTGTAAAAACAAAAAAAATTCAAAATTAATTAATTGAGTTTTGTTTATTTTTAAATTAAACAATTAATTTTTATAAAAAAACGCACACTTTAGTTAAATTTATTTTAAAATAAATAAAACAACAACAACCACAACAACAACGAATTCACGTGTTTCAATTTATTCTGTAAACGAAGTAAAATTTTTACATTTGTATATTCATGTTTAGAATTAATTATTATTATTATATTTATCGACGCGAAACTTTATAAACAAACAACAACAACAACAACAACAATTTTGCACTTTTTTACAAACAACAACAACAATTTTGCACTTTTTTACAAACAACAACAACAACAACAACCAATTTAAAAACTTTTTTTTTAGTATCAACTTCGCAAATTACGTGCAAATTGTGTATACTTAAAAAAAAAAAAAACAATTAAAAATAAATTACCGACGTGGCTGCTTTGATAGGTACTCTTATATGCACTTATGTAATTTAATATTAAATCATTTCATTAAGTGAATTTTTTAAGTAAAAAAAACCTTGAATTTTAATGAAATCTTGATAGGAAATAAATAAATAGAAATAGAAATAATAATAATAATTATGTTTTTTTTTCATTTATTCTTTCCCCCCTTAAAATTAGTTAGTGCAAGATTTTTTTTTTGTTTTAAATACAGGAAAATGTCCTTCGGATAAAACATTATCATTTTGTATATTAACGTTTCCGTTTGATATAAGAAATTTTTTTTTTTTAAAATTATTATTATTATTATTATTATTATTATTATCAGCATCGTTGTTGTTGTTGTTGCGTGTCATTTTTGATTACCCGTACGTTTTAAAAAAAAAAAAAAAAATAGAAAAACAATAAAAATGAGAAAAAAAAATTTACGCGTTAAAAATTAAACAAAAATTCAAAATCTCATTAGTAAAATTTAATTATTATTATTATTATTATTATTATTATTATTTTTATTATTTTTAACGTAATCGATTTAGTTAATTTTAGACAAAAAAAAAATAATAATAATAATACTAAAGTTGTTTGTTGATTACATAAAATATTTTCGAAAATAAAAATTAATTTTTTTTAACAAATTTCGTTTTTAAATTTATAATGATGATGATAATATTTTTCGTTAATTTGTTATTATAATAATGATGATGATGATGACGTCATTTTAAATCACATCATAACAAATATTTTGTTTAAAATTTACGTTAATAATATTAATAATAATTAAAAATAATGTATTAATTAAGGTTTTAGACAAAAATTTTCTTTTTTCTTTTTTCGTTTTTATTTATAATAAATAAATTTTTTTTTTTTTTTTTGTAAATTTTAAGTCGATGAAAGATTTAGTAAAAACAAACAACAAACAAACAAACAAACAAAGAAAATTTTAATTAAATATCATTATTTTCAATCATGTTCTTGAAATTTTTTACGCCATTTTAATTTCGTTGGTAAAAAAAAAAAAAAAAAAAAAAAAATACATTTAAAGGTCGTTAAAAAAATTTTTTTTTTTGTTATGAAAACTCATTTTTATTGTTATGAAAAAAACTCATTTCTTAACTTTTTTTTTTTTTTTTTAAAAAAATTTCGAGCCTTAAAATTTTATTTTTAAATTTTTTAAAACGCATAAATTCATTTTAAAAAAAATAATTAATTATCATCATCGCATTTACTTTTACGTTAATTAACAATAATAACAATAATAATAATAATAATAATAATAATAAAAATAATAATATGCCAAACAAACAAAACATAAATTTAAACATAAAAATTTAATAAATAAATAAAAATTTAACTTACCCAAAATATTAAATAAGAATAGAAGTTAATAAATGTAAATCGCTTTATTTGGCGTCATGACGTAAAAATTAAAAAATTATATTGTTTATTACGATCGCCGACGATAATAAATAAATAAATTATTTATTTATTTATTTAAACAATACACTTTTATTTAAACAATTTGTTTAAAATTTTTAGTTTTATCTTACCCTGTAATGTAAAACACAAAATTTTCGCACACACGACAACAACGAATTTCACTTGATAAATTAAATATTTTATTATTATTATTATAAATAATTTTTTTTACATTATTTAAAAACAAAATAACAAAAACAACAACAACAACGACAACAAAAATCATCGACGATGTTTAAATAAGAGAATCTTTTTTTTGTTAAGGGAATGGAAAAACGAGGTCGAGATGAAAGCAGTATCGACTTGACAAGCGCTCTGAGTTTTTTTTTTTTAAAAAAATCCTCCGTTACGATTCCCCTCTACATCTTCCAACAAACGCATCTCGTGAAAATCGTTTTTCCTTTTTCCCCCTACTCCCCTTCCCCCCGGATCAGAGAGATCTTTCTCTTTTTATTATTTAGTGATTTCGTATAAAACAGAAATTTTATTATTATTGTTTTTATATATCGTGTTAAAAATTTAAATTTAAATAATTTTCCATTTATTTGTTTATAACATCGATCGATGATTGGAAAATGTCGGAAAATTATAAAATTAAATTGTTACGATTAAAATTTCGAAAATAATTCTTTAAAAGAAAAACCAATTTGAAAATCGTATCGAACTTAATTTTTAAAATCCACGTTTTAAAATTCTCACGGTTGTTGTTGCTGTTGTCGTGGTTGTTGTTGTTGTAATTGATTAAATTTGATTGGGAGACAAGAAAAAAAGAAAATTCGTACTTGGAAACGAAATTTCAAAGATCAAAAACAATATAAATACCCCAAAAAAAAAAAAAAGAAAAATCGATGGGGAGACCAACGAAAAAATTTTATTTAAAAAAAAAAATTTATATATATTAAATCGCTAACATTAAATTATTATTATTATTATTAATATTACATCCCTATTCCAGGAGGATATTTTGACATTTATAAATTTTTATTTTAAGAAATTTCTCTCTCTCTCTCTCTCTGTGTGTGTGTTCGTGACGTATAATTTAACAAACTCATATTAAATTTAAGAAAGAAAGAAATGAATTTTTGAAAATTTGATTAAATTTTATTTTAATAATGATAATAATAAATAAAATTTTGGGAAAACGCGATTGTTATAATAATTACATAATCTATTAAAAATAATAATAATAATAATTTATTTATTTATTTTTATAGATATTCGAAACTAAATAAAAAAAAAAAAATTTTTCATTTAATATTAAAATAAATTAACGATCGTGTTTGTTGCGTTTTTGTTTTTGTTTTCCAATTATTATTATTATTATTTATTTTAATTGTTTTTACTTCGAGATATTTTCGGACAACCTGAAAAAAAACAAAAAAAAATTTTTTAATTAAATAAAAATTTATATAAATAAATAAATAATAAATTATTAAAAAAAAAAAATTGCGTACGACAAACGGAACATTGTGATTCGTCACTGTTATCTCCGCAACCGTCTCTTCCAGAACAAAGTATGGCCGTTGATCTACATCTTCCATTTTCACATTTCATAGGGCAATAATTATCATTATTATTATTAATTAAATTAATTGTTTTTTTTTCGCTGTTGTAATAATTCCTGTTGAAATTATCCGATCTGCACAATTCTGGAGATTCGTCCGTTCCATCCGCGCATTTGGGTATCGCGTTACAAAATTCGTATTTTGGTAAACATTGTCCGTTTCCGCACTGGAACGTATTTTCCGGACAATCTGAAAATTTTCCCCATCGTTAAAATTAAATATCATTCGAAACAATAATAATAATAATTATTTATTAGTTACAATAACGATCGATCACCCTTACTTTTTGATTCTTTTCTATGTTCCGCCATGCAAAATTTTTCATCTTCTCCATTCGGACAATTTTTTTTACCTGGAAGTATTATTATTATTATTATTATTATTATTTACAATTTATTTATTTTAAAACAAAACAGTAATAAATGATGATTTAATGTTTTCTTTTGTTTTTAATTTTTCATGGTGTCGTTACATTCTGTTACGCTAAATCACGTTAACTTTTTTTTTTTTTTATATTTTTATCGGTTGTAATAACAATTTACGTCTTGAATATTATTATTAATTTAATAATAACTCGAATTGTTATTGTTTTATTACGTAATTAATTTTTGTATCGTCATTAATTATTCGTAACAACAAAAAAAAATTTTTTTTCAATGTTAAAATTATATTTAAAAAAAAAAAATTAATGATAGGTTTTTTTACTACCATCGCACAAAACAGCTAATGAAACACATGTTCCATTGAATGAACATTGAAAAGAATAAGAAGGACAAACAGGTCCTTGACATTGTTCATCACTTCCGTCAGGACAATCATTTCTTCCATCGCAAACAAAAAACCAACTTATACACAAACCGGAACTTCGACACTAAAAAATTATTTTAATTATTTCAATATGGTATTTTAGAGAAAACAAATTATTATTAAAATGATTCGTACCTGAAAGGTTTCTGGAGCACAACCCGTATTATCCTTGTCGCATAAATTAGTTCCGTTATTTTTTACGACACAATCGCAAATACCATTAATACACTTTGACTCGGTATCTTCTCTTTGGCACTGAGAATCAAAAGTACATGGAAAGCCTAAACTGATTGAATCAACATCACGCCAAATGTTTTCTTGGTTTCCTGTAATTTTAAATTTCTATCTCTGTAAAACTATCATTATAATAATTTGTTTCGAAAGGGAAAAAAAATAAAAACCATTTTCATTTCCGTCTTTTCTATAATTAGATCCGGTAGCTGTTGTCGAACCGTTTTCGAATTCTTCATCATCATCATCAACAGCATCAAATTCTTCTTCATCACCACCACCACTCACGGGTACCATTGTTTCGATTGTTGTCGTCGTCATTTGAGTTTGTTCTTCAACTTGTCCTCCTCCTTCGGTCGCGGTAACACTTTCGAAATTTTCTATATGTTCTTTTTGATGTTGGAAAGGATCGGAAAAAGATTCGCCATTTTCCGATGGATTTTTAACGTTCCAATTATCATCGTTTGATTCTTCATTTTTCAAACCATCATTTTTTTCCGTTATTTCTTCTTCATTCGTCATCGATTCTTCGCTCGTATTTTTCACCATCTCATCTTTTTCCCCATCGTTTTCTGATTGATTGGAATCGTGACAAAGTCCTTAAAAAAAAAAAAAGAAAGTAATAAATTTTTTTTTTTGGCAAAAAATATCAGTTTAACTATAACTTACCCTCTTGACCTTTGCATTCGCATTTACCAAACAAACTTTGAATAATAAAATTACAACGTAAATTTTTATTCCACATTTGACAATGTTCATCGCTATAACAAACACTTCCAAGTTTTGCAGCTGGAGAAAAAAAAACAATTCGTACGTTATTAAAAAAAAAATTTTTATTTCTTATTAATAATAGTAATAATAATAGGTATCTTACGTCCTAAACACGTGTGTTTTCTAAAACGTATAAAACCATTCGAACAATGACAAAAACCATTTTTACAAGAACTGTTAGCTACCCTTAAAGAACATTGATCATCGATTAGACATTCTTGATCCAAAAGTTGTGCTAAAATAATTATTTATTGATTTATCGATTAATAATATGTACATATATATTTTATTAAAATATTAAACGTGAAAATAATTTTTTTTATATTAAATACAAACATTCTAAACATGACGTTGAATTATAATCCGCGTAATAATGTTTACACGTGCAAACTCCTGACAAACAATGGCTGTTGTTAATTTTACAATCTGAATTTTTTGTACATCGACTTCCTAATTCGCTCAACGAAACGGGTATAAAACACGATACCTTAATTAACAAACAAATAATTTATTAACCATTTATTACGTCACTATAGTAATAATAATAATAATCATTTTTGTTTTATGTATATACGAATCTCCAAAGTATTTGATTCATTGTTTAAAACATTAACGTAAACTTTTTTTTTTGTTTAGGATGTTTTAAATAAAATAATAAATTATTAATTTTCAAACGGGATAAATTGTTAAAATGATAATAATAATAATAATACGAATTTTATTCAAAACGGAAAAAAATAAAAAGTTGACAAACATAATTTTTGTCTTTTCTCCGCACCCAATTGTTTTTTTTTTTTTTTTTAAACATAATCACGTCAGTCTAACCTTCGATACATTTTAAATTATGTTTTACTTAAAGTTTTTTGTTATGAATTTTAAATAAATAAATGTGTATGTTGCTGCTTTCACATTCGTCACGATTTATTTATTAATAAATAAATAAATAAAACATAAATTTTTAAGGAAAATCAAAAAATGTTTACCATTTTTTTTTTTTTTTTTTGGTTTTCTTAAAAGAAATTTTACTGAGGGAGTGAAAGGGGAGGGGAGAAGGAGGAAAAGAAACATTTTCGATTATGTTATTAACAGTTATGATAATTATTATTATTATTATTGTTACAAGTCAATTATATTATCATCTTAATAACAATTATAATAATAGGTAGTTTGAAATATTAAAAAGAAAAATGATTATTATTAATATAATTACAAAGTAAACTACTAGAGTGCTACTTTTTTTTATACTTAATTAATAATAATAATAATAATAATAATAATAATGTGAAACGTATAAAGGGTGGGGGTAAAAAGTAAAAAAAAGAAATTTTTTTTAAATATTAACGGTGGAAAAAAATGTTTAAAAAAAAAAAATTTGCTGGAATTTAAAGTAATAAATTATGTTGAGAATAGGTAGAGACAAGGTATATATAAATTGTATCAAGAGGGTCAAACAATTTTGGTTGTTGTTGTTGTTGTTGTACGGTTTATCATAAATATAAACAAGGGCAAATCTTAAGGCTCTTAAAATTCTTTTTAAGTTTTGTTTTTTTATCAAAACTTTTTATCTTGAAGTGTAAGAAAGTTAAAAACTCTTTTTTTTTTTTTTTTTTAAAGAAAATAAAAATTAAAAACTTGCATCCGAAAAAAAAAACAATTCTTTTTTTTTGTTGTTGTAAAGGTTAAAAGTCCATCGCTTTGTAGTGAAAAGATACGTGGATACAGTTTTTCATTCATTAAAAAAAATATTTACCGTAATATGACTAAATAAATCTTTTTTTTCCTTACGCCCCTCTTCGTACCTTATAAATTTTCACCCCCCGCCCCACCCTATTACCCCTCTTGTCCTCCCTTCCTCCCTCTTCCCTTGTAGCAAATATTAAAAACTTATTGTTTTCAAATAAAAAAAAAAAAAATTTCTCATGAATTCAAAACGATAAAAATAATAAAAATAATACAATTTATTAATCAATAATCAATAATAATAATAATAATAAATTTTAAATTATAAAAAAATCGTATATAAATAATAAATATAATTATTAACTTACCCAAAATAAAATAAATAATTGTAATAAAAATTTATCGGACATTTTTTATTAATAAAATCGATGAATATTTAAAAAAAATTATATATAATCGATC